ACGTATATATATAATATATTATATAATATATATTTTCCTCTTTGTACCTACACACTAGCACTTTCTCACGTACCATCTCGAGTACTTAATTGACGACGGATGTTTAGGATGAAAATAGGGAAATGTAGGCTCACGTGAGTGATGAACAATTTTTGTTGTGCGAATCGAAAGGTGAACGATGCTCGATGCCATTTATATTATCTTTGTCTCGAGAAAGAGTGCGTGAATCCTTTTAAATGTTAACTCGTGAAGGTTTCATTCGAACGAAGGAAGAAAGTGGATTTAAAGAGAGAGAGAGAGAGAGAAAGAAAGAATTTTTCGTGGAATACAGTCGAGACGACGAAAGAGAAGGATTAAGAGTGGCGAGCACCTTGTTGTTAGCGGCGAAATAACGAAATTTCTAGGAATTATGAACGGATCGAAGGTGTTTTTTGTTACGAAGATTACGTTCGTATAAAGTAATTGAAGCTATTGTGTCGCGACGGCTGACATTGTCGTCGCGTAAACCATGTATTGTATATATATCGCAACTATATACATATATATGAAAAGTCGATTAATTAGTAACGCTGAAGGAGAGCAGCTCTAAAATTTGATAACGAGAATTCGGGAGCGAGAATGTGAGTGTGAGAGAGTATGAGAGAGAGAGCGTGAGAACGTAAGACGATCGAAGAAACATTTTTTGGAGAGAAAAGATGGAGTATCGATGTAAGAGACGAAGCCAATCTACACATATACACACACACACACAGAGAAATTGAATCATTTCAATCATTTTTGCGTCACCGACAAAACAAAAAGAAAGAGAAGCCATATCACACGAAGAATCGAAGGCAAAATTTCTTATAATTACTCTAATAGGAATTAGGTGGAAGGGAAACAAAACTAGAGGAAATTGGTTTCGATGTTACTCTACGAAACGAATTCATATGTATATTTTATCTTGTTATCTCTTTGACTATTATCAACAGTTAGCATATCTCGTTATTATTGTATATTATTATTACTATCATTATTATTATTACTATTATCGCTATTATTAATTACTGTCATTAATTATTATTACGATTATTGCCATCACAATCACCATTCTTATCCAAGGCTACAATTTCAAGAGAAAAAGAAATGGTAAAAAATGCAAAAAGTATATATACATACGAAACGAGCCACGGGCGTGAAAGGAATTTTGGTACCTTACGATACACACGCGATTCAAAAGAAACCCGGCAAAAAAAAGGAATATAATGAAAATGAAGCAACTCAAGGGCCCACTGTCATTGTTGATTTGCGAGAAAGCAGTGATTCAATAAACTTGTATCATAACTGACTAAAGAGACTTGTATACACTACCGGCCAAAAGTTTGGAATCACCGAGCATTGCAATTTACACAAAAATTTCCAGAAAGAAGTCAGCGATTTTGAGAATTTTTTATCATTCGAATCAATTGATAAAAGTAGAATTGAGATAAACTTCAAATCTATAAAAAATTAGCAGCAGATTTAATATTGATGGAGAGTGGGAGGTGATTCCAAACTTTTGGCCGGTAGTGTGTATATATATATATATATACATATACGCATACTTGTATACACATGCTTGAGCTAGTGTTAAATGAATCAAATTTATCACTGTTGAAAAGGCAAGAAAAAAAGGGAAAAAAGAGAATCGAACGAGGCCAACAACTTTTCATGCCTCGAATAACAAAAGTCGATGGCGTTAATTACAGCGCGGTTAAGAAACGCGTTTCACGGTTCCATGCCCCTCGATCATGTTCCCTTTTTCTGGCCCCGATTTCCGGCTACAAATGTAACTCACGAATAATCGAGTTGTTGCAATTACAGTCGAACAACGCGCCTTCGAAAAACCTCGACTTTTAACTGGATTTATCGTTACTCGGTGAACACGTGGCTAGCCGTACATTTTTTCTCAAATTCCTTCTAAACACTCGAAAGTAAGGCCAAGATCATGCGATACCTTGTCGAAGAGTGAAAAAAAACGAGCCACTCGCTTGTGAGAAATTTTTGCCACGTTTATCTCATTTAGCATCTCGATTCGAGGAGATAGAGATGGAAAGATAACAGTAAGGAGCGTTCTTTCCCGCAACCTTTCGTATGCATCGAGTCGCACTCGTCACGTGTTCCGTTTGACCTCACGTTGATGCATCGTCCGCTATCGATGTCATCCTAGCTGGCGAACATGCGAGCACCTAGCGAAACGTGACCGAATCTGATACCAAAACCATCGCCGTTCACGATGATTACTTCATTACCGTTTTCGAAAGTCCAGACACTTACGAAATCCTCCTACGATACAATTCGTTAATCCGTTTCGAGAGAGAGAGAGAGAGAGAAAGAAGAAAGATTCTCGCGGTTGTCGTACGTGGAAAATTGCATGACTCTTTTTAGCAAGTGATAAGCAAAGGATCACATTGATCCCTGCAAGAAACGGGAAAAATAACGCAAGGTTGGATTTTATCTTGATCAAATCGATCGACAACGCGCCCAGACGTATGTTCTAATTTTAACCGATTAATCATCGTTCGAATCAGGTGATTAATTCGTCACTTGGTCCGACCATTCTGACGAATCATCGGACAACCTTCCCCGAACGATATTCTTTAAGGAAAGAGAACGTAGTTCCGTGTTTCACGAGGTTCGTTGTCACATGTGCACACGTGCTCGCCGCCTAAAATATTCGAATAGCCGAATATAGAACACGCGGCGTACACACATGGTCGTTCCCCGTAGCTCGCTAGATAAAGCCATTGCGCAGAGATTATTGAACGAATACGACGCTTGTTATCTATGTGTCCGGTCATCGTTGTTATTTGTTAGTTCTACTGGTGAGACATTCGAGAAAGTAAATATTTCCATCGTTATCGAGGATCGTGATCTGCCTTACTCCTCGTTTTCTTGTCGCTCCTCATTTCCCTATCTTCTTCCTTTTCACATTCTTCTCATTTTTACGTGAATTCCTCTTTCATCAAACTTCTCGTTCCGCCTATGCGGATACACGTGATCGCACGTGCAGCCACATTTTTCCTTTCACAAGCTATCGGTTTTAGCACGTTATTTATCGAATATCGCCAGCGCTTTCCTCATTATGCTCGCCACCGTGGAAATGTCCGCGTGTCGTCGACACTTAAGAAAGAACGATAAAAGGAACGGACGATAACCCAACCCGGGGAATAGAACGTCGATTCTCAGCGGCCGAGGGCAACGGCGTAGAAACAGCCATGAATTATGGTGAAACGTTAATGTATATATTATTTATTGCAAGTCTATACATTTCTTAACTGTGTATCAGCATTCGCTGTCTTTTTATCTGACTCGTTGCTTTTTACAACATTCGGAATAACGACCGTTTCGCAACGAATTTTTACTCGTCCCGCCTGCGAGACAATCTCTCGATCGGAGTAACTCGAACAATTTACTGTATCTCGCGACGTATGGATATTAATTATCTCGCTCGCGTAATCGGAACTTACGTAGTCTAGTCTACGAGCGATAACGCGAACCTACCGCATGCTTCCTCTTTGAATACAGACATTTGTCAATCCTGGCACGTGTCCGTCGATAATACGCGAAATTTATTTATAAGACGGGTTTGCAATTCATCCACGAGCTTCTTATCGCTTGACTATTGACGATAATCGTCGAAATAGAAAGAAGGAGAAAACGATGTGTTTATTGTATATGTTGCTCGAAGTGGAACGGTAATATACTGATTTGATTGGAAATAATTTAATACCACTGTCAGATATATTGGGTTACTTCGATAACGTACACGTGATCCGCGATATTTTCCACGATTCTAGGTTACTACTGTTAATGAACGTAACAAAAAGTACGCGCAGAGCGTTAAGATCGTAGGCGGAAGTGATTTGCGAATATTAGGTCAAGAGAGAAAATGGCGACGCGCGGACGGATAGTTGATGGAGCTGGTCGTCTAGAGGACGAAAGATCCGGATGAGGATCCTGATTCAGCAATTCGATTGATTCGCTCAGCTCCTTTTATGTAGCTCCTTGCGTTTCAAGTCGTCTCTTTTCTACGATGCGGCATCGTTCGTTATAAATCTCGGGATTAATAGGAGGAAAAGAATGAGTTATTATTTCCTAGGTGTTTTTTTCTTAGGGAGGTGAATAAAATCAGAGGTTAATTAAACGTTGATAAATACTTGGAGAGGTTAATTTTGTTACTATATTCCATTCTGATATAACGCGAGTCGAAGAAAAATTAAAAGAAGACTGATAGCAACGAGCAAAGTTATTAGCGATGCTATCTATTCAGGTAAGTAATTATTGCAGCAATTATAACATCGTTAATTATACTTTATGTTCTTTAACGTTCTTATATTATATTCTATAATATTCTATAAATACCCTTGATCCTCTATACCGCCATTTTACTTGGAAGTCGTGTATGTATTCCTTTATCTATATTTAAAAAGTCTCATTTTATTTGTTTATTGCTATATATTGTATTGTATGATTTTGTATAATTTTTGCTATTCAAAAATCAGGTTATAAAGAGTTAAACATTCTTTAAGCTAGTACTTCAAGCATAACCATACACCTCGTCGCTCAATCGTTGAAAACATTTCCACGCGAATCAGAGAAAAATAAAAACATTTCGTTAATCCCTTGACTTGTGATTTTTATTATTAGCTATGTATGTCTGTAATAATGTAGCTACTTATTGTTTTAATACTGTGTCAGATAACTAGAGTTAATATATCACACATTATTATATTTGCTAATCTTCAGTTTTATTAATGAAAATTACATTTGGAATTAAAATTAATTTTCTTTACTAATACAGGTTTTGCACTCCAAATTCACCCTTTTGTTTAGATTTTGTGCCAACCTCAAATCACAATTTAAATGGAATTACTCTCTCGCGTAAATTGCAAGAATTTTAGGGAAATTAAATGTCGACACAACTGAGGCTTGTCTAG